TAAATTGCCACAAAAAGGGACACGCTAGTGATAATAGTTGTATTTGGTGTCATATATGCTTTACCCTACTCCTTATAAATCAAGGCTAGGTCTCTTAACTTTTCAATGTGGGACAAACACTCTCAACACGCCCCTACACGTGTGGCGAACTTTCAAGTCTAACACGTGGACAATATATATTGGGTGACGTGGGAGCACGTGTGGCCGTTGGGCCCAACACGTGAATCCTTACTCTAATACAGTAAAGGAAATTGAGGTTCCATCCCAAAACCAATTGGCAATAGAGTGAGTAGCACAGCTCCTTATAAGCTTTTGCTAAGTTTCTCAACTTTTCAATATAAGATATTTTACCTTTATATTCTAGCAGTTTCCACTTCAAATTATTCCTACATGCACATACAGAAAAACAAAGTTTCAAATTCAAAGACAATAAAAATAATATAAAAAAACCCACTACTGGAAAAAAAAAAAAAAAAAAAACTGTATAATGAGAAAACTAAAATAATAGGAACTTAATAAAATTGAATAATTAGTTGTGTATTCTTCTCTTTTGCAGAGACAATTAAAGAAAAAAAAATGGTAACTATTAAACCAAAAAAAGAAAGAAAAAGAAAATGTACAAATTACTTCTTTTTTTTCCTTTCTCACACTAATTAAGTGAAACAATAACCTAAGTAGGTTTGAACACTAAGTATCCACTTTGCCGATTCCACGAATGCATAGATTTCGAAAGTTGTGATTGTTAAAATTGTACATAGCCAATTTTTTAAAAATATTTAAGCTATTATACATGAGCGTATGTTAAGAGGCTAGTAATTGATTAGATCAAGACGAAACATCCATCAAAAGGGAAGAGGAGAGCCACTCTGGCTCTTCCTCACCTCATCAAATAAAAGCCGGACAATGTAAAGCAGAACGAGCTATATATAATAGGCTTTAAGGGACAAGCCAATCCTAAGATAATTAGGTATAAAACAAGTCGCCCATATGTCTAGTTGTAAGGATCAATGCTGTTCAAAACTGCAAATCATACTCTGCAACCTAATATATGTTAATCAGAGACCACTGTCTAACAAAGAAAGTTTGATGTCTCCTCCTATTGAACAAGTTACTGTGAAGCAATGGTAACCTTGTTCAGCATATTTTGCTTCAAAAGAATAACAACTAAGACAACCAAAAACAAAAGGAAAAAGAAAGAACAGAAAATGTACTAATTACTTCTTTTATTTTTCTCACTCTTCTTAAGTGAAACAATGCTCTCCCAGTAGGTTTCAACACTACCAACTTTGCCGATTTCACGAACGCGTAGATTCCGAAAGCTGTGATCGTTAAAATTGTACATAACCAACTCTTCTTCAAACACCATCAAATCATGAGACTTTGTCCAGAAACCAGAATGTGACAAGTTCCAATATGGGATGGAGACCGTCATTTTAGTCCAAGATTCGCCCACTCCATATTCCTTCATGACCCAAAACTCATTGTATGTTGGTGTTGCTTTTCCATACTCACCCTCAAAAGTTACACATAACCATTCCCTGAAGACCCCGAGCTTACTACGACGAGTTTGAGAAGAGTTGATTTCACGCGGCAGTGGAATTTCTCGAACCTCCTCCTGATCTTGTGTTAAACTTAAAACGAGGGAGACAATCAACAAAGATGAATGATGATCATCATCTTCTCCGACTCTTGTCCCCAACCAATGAAGATTTCCATTCAGCAGGGTCCCTTTATTTCGACATGGAAAGATGTGGTAGGGAAATACGTACTCATGAATCTGTCGCCAAGAATTAGTTTCCAATGTATACACATTAAACTGAACCCCTCCTTCATCATCATCACGGACATTTGTTCTGTAGACGATACCATTGACGACCTTGTGTTGATGAGTTGAAGAATCAAATCCAAACCCATATACGTCGCAGAAGTAGTAGAGGTCATCAATTAGATATTCTGTTGGTATTTCTGGTAGTTTCTTGGATTGCCTTGTTGCTGGGTTAACCAAATATAACTGCGGGTCATATAAAAACATGCATAACAACAGGCCGTTGCACCAACCCAACATGGAAACCGAAATACCTGATAACTCGCTATAAACATACTGGAGCTCCGTGGCTGTTGTTACTAATAAATTACTACCACCAACCTCCTCATCGAAATCGAAACAGTTACGATTGCGATTATCGTGATCGGATGATCCATCTTCTTCCTTGTTATGATTGAGAAACTCATCATCGTAGTCAAGATGCATAGAGTGGAGGCCATTACCTGCGGCATCAGTAAATATGACTCTTCTTCTTCTTCGGAAGAGTAGATCATCTTTATCCTCCCCAATGCCTTTGTACAAGTGCGATGCGACAAAACTGGGGTTGTCGGAGATTAGGGAACTCCATGACTTTGAGACGCACTTGAAGCGGCATAAGGACTTCACTGGTAGCCTTGTTAGAATCTCCTCTATCATCGTTGATGGAAGCTGGCCGTTAGAGTTTGAGTTTCCGGTCCGCCCCCGCTTTTCCATTTTATGATTTTACTTGCAAACTAGCTAGCCTAGCCAGAAAAAAATTTCTGTGCTTTTTTCTTTCGACCAGAAAAAATATATCTGCTCGTTTTCTTGTACGAAAGCTGATGTGGGTTAACTTGTGTTATATATTAAAGCTCCAGCCTCCTGGAAGTTAACTTATATTAGGGTAAGGAGTCGAATTCGATTCGTGTTTGATTTCGTACTGAACAAGGAATATAAAATCCAAAAGCGTTCAGGACCCCTATAGTAGTTAATAAGGATTCTGATTGAAAATCTTTTCGTGTTTGTTTGTACTTGTTTATGTTCCTCTTATCAAGAAGAAAATCATAGAATCATGTTCATGTTGCAAGTCCTAAATCATTTTGTGTTCTGTTTTGTTGTGTTGTGATCTATTTTCACCTTCTTCTAAGATTACTTTTTATTTTATATATTTCCAACATCGAATGTGATATCCCTGGAATTCATGATTGCCCACATGATTAGGGATAACGTTTATCTTTTTTCTTTTTAATTGATGAAAAGAGAAATTTTATCATTAATTCGCTTCTGTTTGATCACAGATTTAATATAAATTGGTAATTCAATTCCAAACCAAAATAAATAAATGGAGTAAATGAGACTTCATCATAAAGGGGGGTTTTAGTTCATTGATTAAAATAGTTACGTCAACATGGTCTAACTCAATGAAAATGCCCTTCAATTCACTTGCGGATTAGTGGGTTTCCATGATACCTTGATACTGTGTGTGAGAGAAACCTCATCTCCTTGTAGTTTAGACTATCGTTTGTATTAAAAAATAATAATTATACCTGCATTTTCCCTTCATTAATATAATTAATATGAAACACAATTAGTGACTCGTAATTCAAGTGGTTAATATCAGTTATCCTTACAATAAATATAAGAAAAAAATGAAAGTGAATTGGATTGGTTGAAGTTTCTTAAATGTAAGCCACGAACCCTTTTTCTGTCTCAACTCTTTTCTTTTTTCTTAAGGCCACACACAACACACAGTCCTATAGTCGTACGTACACACGTTTCTTCTTTTGTTATTTTCTTGCTTTTGTGGCAAAACAAATCAAAACGCCAAAACTACTGAGGAGTTCACGCAACGCTGTATTTGTGTGTCGTTTTGGGGCCTTTTGCTTTCTCCGATTTATTAGATTAGAGAAAGACGATGTGATGTGATGCACCACCGTGCACGCTACTAAGCACACCCATGGAACAGTCTCACTCAAGTAATGGTCCAAAATCTACTTCAATCAATTTACTATAAATAAATAAATGATTTTGATTTCTTTATGTGTTAAAAACTAGAGGCTTTTGCACCCACCTCTTCTTTCCTTCCTTTCCTTTTTACTCAAGATTGTTAGTATTTTTTGGGATGTGGAAACAGTCGCTATGAAACAATGTCGTCGCTTTATTTTGGCCCACGTACACAAGGAGTTGGCACTAAAGAGGGGACTATGGGTTTAGTAGTGGTCCTATTTCTTAATTTTGTTTTAGTCTAATAATTTTAAAAAACTCTTTATGAGTTTGATGTGATTTGTTTTATATTTAGGCTTTTTAATTATTTTTAGCTTTTGGCTTTCGATATGCATTTGTCGTTTCTATTATTACACGACAAATCTGCATTGCAGGTCTGAGTACATGTGCTTTTGGTTGCTGAATCGAAAATTTAGTCATTATTTGAGTTGTGCGTGATTCTCTCCAGATCAATTCAAATTCAACTTGTTATTATGTTTGGTCACTGGAGAAGTTTTACCCATATTCGACACATAATTGCTTTGTATTTTTTTGTTTATCAATAATATACTATCGTTTATTAATAATAAATAAAACTTTTGCAATTGTTGAGCTCTTGTCATGAATGCTAATTAGTATAATTAATGTAGAGCATTTTATTTAGAATTTTTCAGAGAAGCGTGGGACATGGATTTCAATTGTATTATTCACATTAAAGGATATTCCGGTTTATTTCTGGTTTGTTTATAGAGACTTGTATTTTGTGTTTATTTTTATGTTTTGTACTTATAATGGATGCAATATTAATTTTTCTATTTATATTAATTTTTAAAAATATATTATTTTAATCGCCGTATCGGTGCCATACCCGTATCCTAGTTTTTGGAATTTTGCCGTATTGACATACGCGTACACGTGCAACATAGGTTAAAACCCCATATTTATATTTATATTTATATTTTTTTGGGCTGAACTTATAAGCCCTTAAATACATTTTCGATGCACCAATATCATGAAGTTTGAGATAGTAATGTTTTGCTCTTGTCGTGCTATGTTGGAGGTCTTCAGTTAGAAACTTAATCCTTTCAACTTTTGCTAATTTCAGTTTTGGGCCACTATCTTTTTCGATTTTCAACTATAAAAAAGCCCACCATCCAAATTATTTTTGGCCCAAACCGATAACCCTTAAAACCCCCGCTCCAACCCTAACACTTGGTCTCTAACTAGTGCTCATTCAACCGCCGAAAACAGCCTTAGTTTATCCTAAAAATCTGCAAATGAGCGGGTAGGTGAGAAACAAAAGTTCAAACCAATCGGTTAGCTCGCTCTCTCTCATCAATTTCTCCTTCTATGTCCACAGGCCGAAACTCACAAACGTTTTTACTGAACCAATTCTTGTAAAACGTTTTTGTATAAGCCATACTCAAGGAGGAATCAGCTGATTATGGCTTATACAAAAACCTTTACAAGAATTGGTTCATAAGGATATTTTTCTATACCAGTCTATACCAGAAAGGGTTTTGATCGTTCTGCTCGTCCTTCCTTCGATTTATCCCCTGTCCAAGGTAACATGCTTGATTTATAGTCTTTTTTAGATATAAATTCTTAGTTTGCAGTTAACGAATTGTATTTGTAAAGGGAATTCTTGATGGTTTTGTATTGGATTTTTAATGTGGTTTGTTTGTTCTTGGTAGAAAGAAACATATCGTTGCAGCTTTGGAGATGCATCAACCAAAAATGGAGCTGTAAATTTTAATTTAATTTGCTTTGGGATGTAATATTAAACTTAGTGTTGCCTTGATTGTTTTGTTTATTTTTTAACAAAAAAATGCTTGCTGGATTCAATATGGGAATCGGACCAATTGTGATTTTTAAACCAAACTTTTTTAAAAATTCAGTTGTTCTTGAAGGTTGAAATATCCAAAAAAAATAAAGTCAATTGGGCTTTGGTGTTGGCCCAAACTGGAAGAACGGGAAATCAAATCGGATCTAAGCTGGTCCAGTCTGGTTCGATTTATTAATCAGTTTTTCACCGGACCAAGCCGGACTGTGTGAACAGTTCTAGTTCTGATTTAGATTTTGGATGAAAACTGGGACGAACTGGACCGTGCCACTCCTAACAACACCTAATCCAAACTAACCCTAGTTTAAAATTTAGCATTATTTTAACAAATAAAACGATAAATGACAAGAAGAAGCAATTGGGAAACATGATCTATCTCTCTCTTCCACATAAATATTTTAACCATACGATTATATAGAAGCCAAAAACAGAAAGGCATGGAAGAAGACATTGAGAAATCAATATCAAATTATCAATAGCTAGGGACGTAATTACAGACAAATAAGTCAAACCAACTAATTAATTAGTAGAACAACCACATCTAATAATAATATTAATAATAATAATAATAATAGCTAGGGACGTATTTATTATTATGCATAATAATGAATAATAATAAATACAATGAAAATAGGTCCCATGTTCTCTAAATTCTAAAAGCTAGCACCAAATTCAAAGAATCATTAGGCTAACCCCAACCAAACAAAAACAACCCCATTTTTCTTCCTTCAGTAATCAGTAACCTGTTGGGTACTCGCACGTCCCATACCCTGCAAAACAAACACAGCCGCCCTTTTTAGCATCAACTCATAATCCATAATGATAAAATCAAGAAAATTAAACAAATAAGTCAAGCCGCAATTGTTATCTTTACCGCCCCACTTTTTTTCTTTAATTTAAACTCGACAACGGATTTTAGTCATGTCCGTCGTATTGCTAATTGTAATGACTCTCTTTTTATATATTTTTTAATTGTTCTAATAAAATTCTAGCGCTTCCCAGTAGAAAATGATATTAAATAAAGGAATTTAAAATGAAATAATAGAGTGATAGAGGACGTACTTGGAGGTTGAGCAACAACGTAAGCGGCGCCACCAAAATCGCACGTGCCAGTTCCACGTGCCTTCTTCTGATAGTAACTATTGAAGGCGTACGAAGCGTGCGCCTCAAGCGTATTTGGATTGAAACACGTGGAGCCTTCCTGAATCGAACGGCAATCAGCCCCGCCCTCTCCGCATGCATAATCCAGTGCAGTCTGAAGCTTCTCGTCCCCTGCATTCGCATTCGCCACGCACCACGTGTTCCCACTAGACGGCGCCGTCGTCGGAACCTGGGCCTTGCTCTCGTTGACAGGATTTGTCTGGGCCCCACTCAGGCCCGCGAGAGTAAGGGGTATGTCGTATACCTTCCCTTCATCCGGATAAAACAGCCCGTAATTCCTCTCCGATGTGGGCCCGGGCTTCTGGTTCTCATTAAACAGAGCAAATAAATACACGTTGAGTGGGTCCTGGGGCTTCAACGGGGTCCCACCCCCTGTCAAAACTCTTTTCACCAAGTTTCCGTTATACGCCGCGGCGTTGGCTTTCCCCGCGCCAATCTCGTTCTCGTCGCCGTTGGAAGGCCACCCGGTCTCCGTCACCACCAACTTAACGTCATCGTATCCGAGAGCTGACATGGCAGCGAAAACGGCGTCGAGTTGGGCCTCCATCAAACTATTATAACGCAACCCGTTACCCGAATCCACGTTACCCGAGTTGGTCCGAAACAAGGCGTAGTCTAGAGAGATCTGGTCAGCGTTTGCCTCGTACGCGAAAAACGGGTACGCATTGATCATCAAATACGACGATGTTTTGCTTAAAAAGTCCAGCAAAGGTTTAACCGCGGGTTCGATTAGATCCGGTTTGAAGGATCCGGACGAAGGCGGGTACGAATTCTGGAGCGCGCTGAGGGCAATTGGGGAAGAGAGCTTGATGGAGGAGCTTAGATTGTGCTTGACGAGCGCGGATTGGAGGTTGGTAATGGCGGGGACGAGGAATTTGGTGGTGTTGTTTGGGTCGGCGAAGACTTCGTTGCCGACGGCGATGGCTTCGATTTGGGTCTGCGGGTAGTAGTGGGAGATGTTGGCTTGGACCCATTGGTCGGCGAAGGAGGGGTCGTTGGCGGCGGAGGAGAGGAGCTCGTTGGGGAGAGCGACGACGACGTTTATGCCGGAGTTGGCAAGGGCGGTGAGGACGGCGGCGTCAGTGTCGTAGAGCTTGACTTTGTTGATGCCTTGGGACTTGAAGAGCGCCACTACTTTTTCCGGTGGGGGTAAATTGTTGGCTATTCGGCCGTAGTTGATTCCAATTGTACCCGTTGTGTTGTCTGCAAATAAAAAACAATCAAACCCATCAAATTAAAAATGAAAATGTGTGATTTTAATTTATATATGCAAATGCTAGCTAGTATAAATAAACCAAACCCTTGCATGCTTATGTAATTTCTTAGTTTGCAGTTAACGAATTGTATTTGTAAAGGGAATTCTTGATGGTTTTGTATTGGATTTTTAATGTGGTTTGTTTGTTCTTGGTAGAAAGAAACATATCGTTGCAGCTTTGGAGATGCATCAACCAAAAATGGAGCTGTAAATTTTAATTTAATTTGCTTTGGGATGTAATATTAAACTTAGTGTTGCCTTGATTGTTTTGTTTATTTTTTAACAAAAAAATGCTTGCTGGATTCAATATGGGAATCGGACCAATTGTGATTTTTAAACCAAACTTTTTTAAAAATTCAGTTGTTCTTGAAGGTTGAAATATCCAAAAAAAATAAAGTCAATTGGGCTTTGGTGTTGGCCCAAACTGGAAGAACGGGAAATCAAATCGGATCTAAGCTGGTCCAGTCTGGTTCGATTTATTAATCAGTTTTTCACCGGACCAAGCCGGACTGTGTGAACAGTTCTAGTTCTGATTTAGATTTTGGATGAAAACTGGGACGAACTGGACCGTGCCACTCCTAACAACACCTAATCCAAACTAACCCTAGTTTAAAATTTAGCATTATTTTAACAAATAAAACGATAAATGACAAGAAGAAGCAATTGGGAAACATGATCTATCTCTCTCTTCCACATAAATATTTTAACCATACGATTATATAGAAGCCAAAAACAGAAAGGCATGGAAGAAGACATTGAGAAATCAATATCAAATTATCAATAGCTAGGGACGTAATTACAGACAAATAAGTCAAACCAACTAATTAATTAGTAGAACAACCACATCTAATAATAATGATAATAATAGCTAGGGACGTATTTATTATTATGCATAATAATGAATAATAATAAATACAATGAAAATAGGTCCCATGTTCTCTAAATTCTAAAAGCTAGCACCAAATTCAAAGAATCATTAGGCTAACCCCAACCAAACAAAAACAACCCCATTTTTCTTCCTTCAGTAATCAGTAACCTGTTGGGTACTCGCACGTCCCATACCCTGCAAAACAAACACAGCCGCCCTTTTTAGCATCAACTCATAATCCATAATGATAAAATCAAGAAAATTAAACAAATAAGTCAAGCCGCAATTGTTATCTTTACCGCCCCACTTTTTTTCTTTAATTTAAACTCGACAACGGATTTTAGTCATGTCCGTCGTATTGCTAATTGTAATGACTCTCTTTTTATATATTTTTTAATTGTTCTAATAAAATTCTAGCGCTTCCCAGTAGAAAATGATATTAAATAAAGGAATTTAAAATGAAATAATAGAGTGATAGAGGACGTACTTGGAGGTTGAGCAACAACGTAAGCGGCGCCACCAAAATCGCACGTGCCAGTTCCACGTGCCTTCTTCTGATAGTAACTATTGAAGGCGTACGAAGCGTGCGCCTCAAGCGTATTTGGATTGAAACACGTGGAGCCTTCCTGAATCGAACGGCAATCAGCCCCGCCCTCTCCGCATGCATAATCCAGTGCAGTCTGAAGCTTCTCGTCCCCTGCATTCGCATTCGCCACGCACCACGTGTTCCCACTAGACGGCGCCGTCGTCGGAACCTGGGCCTTGCTCTCGTTGACAGGATTTGTCTGGGCCCCACTCAGGCCCGCGAGAGTAAGGGGTATGTCGTATACCTTCCCTTCATCCGGATAAAACAGCCCGTAATTCCTCTCCGATGTGGGCCCGGGCTTCTGGTTCTCATTAAACAGAGCAAATAAATACACGTTGAGTGGGTCCTGGGGCTTCAACGGGGTCCCACCCCCTGTCAAAACTCTTTTCACCAAGTTTCCGTTATACGCCGCGGCGTTGGCTTTCCCCGCGCCAATCTCGTTCTCGTCGCCGTTGGAAGGCCACCCGGTCTCCGTCACCACCAACTTAACGTCATCGTATCCGAGAGCTGACATGGCAGCGAAAACGGCGTCGAGTTGGGCCTCCATCAAACTATTATAACGCAACCCGTTACCCGAATCCACGTTACCCGAGTTGGTCCGAAACAAGGCGTAGTCTAGAGAGATCTGGTCAGCGTTTGCCTCGTACGCGAAAAACGGGTACGCATTGATCATCAAATACGACGATGTTTTGCTTAAAAAGTCCAGCAAAGGTTTAACCGCGGGTTCGATTAGATCCGGTTTGAAGGATCCGGACGAAGGCGGGTACGAATTCTGGAGCGCGCTGAGGGCAATTGGGGAAGAGAGCTTGATGGAGGAGCTTAGATTGTGCTTGACGAGCGCGGATTGGAGGTTGGTAATGGCGGGGACGAGGAATTTGGTGGTGTTGTTTGGGTCGGCGAAGACTTCGTTGCCGACGGCGATGGCTTCGATTTGGGTCTGCGGGTAGTAGTGGGAGATGTTGGCTTGGACCCATTGGTCGGCGAAGGAGGGGTCGTTGGCGGCGGAGGAGAGGAGCTCGTTGGGGAGAGCGACGACGACGTTTATGCCGGAGTTGGCAAGGGCGGTGAGGACGGCGGCGTCAGTGTCGTAGAGCTTGACTTTGTTGATGCCTTGGGACTTGAAGAGCGCCAC